GAGAAATGGGGACATAGTGTCTCCGTGTCCCAATGTCTCAGTGTCTCCCAATGTCACTATGTCTCACAGCATCCCCATGTGTCTCAGCATCCCCATGTGTCCCCTAGTGTCTCAGTGTCCCCATGTTTTCCAGTGTCCCCAAGTGTCTCAGTGTTTCCAGGTCTCCCAGTGTCTGTGTCCCCATGAGTCCTAGTGTCTCAGTGTCCCCTAGTGTCTGTGTGTCTCAGTGTCCCCATATGTCCCCTAGTGTCTCAGTGTCCCCTAGTGTCTCAGTGTCCACATGTGTCCCCTAGTGTCTCAGTGTCCCCATGTGTCCCCCAGTGTCCCCATCCCTCACTTACCTGAGCTGTAGAGCTGCTGTCTGGACTCTGTGCTGTGTTGCTGCTCCCCCACGGATCAGTGAGTAGTAGAGAGAGGCAGGGATATTCTGTAACTTCCTATCCCTGCCTCTCTCCACACACAGTGACCCCTACTGGCTGGTGCTGGTATTGCAGGGTAATCTCCATTTATTCTGAGAAAATTACCTGCATTTGTATTGCCGGTATTACTGCAATACCGTCACGGCCAGGCAGCCTCACATACCGGCTGTGCCAGTAAAATAGCAGTCAGGTGGCAAACCTAAGAGTAGTGTGTTAAAAAAAAATTTTTTTTTTTTTTTTTTTTTTTTTAAATGGGCCTATTCCATGGGCCTGGGCCTGGAGCTGCAGCTCCATCAGCCCCTATGTTAATCCGGCCCTGGGTCCAGGAGCTAACTGGTGACTCATGGCTATAGTATATATATGGAGAGAATATAATAATAAATGAGATAAATATATACCAGATGGAGATGGGTTGGGTGTATGAAATGTCTTGTGCCTTTAAATACTGGTTATACGTGATATACCTTTAAGTGCAATAGGAAAGAGTAAAAACAAAAAAGAAATAATAATAGATAGATATAAATAAAAAATCTAGATGAAAATCAAGAGAATAGAGATAAAATAGAAGATGAGTTGAATAAGGAAGAAGAGAAAAAGAAATAGACGGATGAACGGGGAAAAAATAGAGGACAACACTGAAAACAACACTAAAAGTGCAAAAAGAAAAAAAGGAGAATGGGTTCCTGGAGGAAATGAAATTGATTTGTATAGAGCAAGTGTCTCAGTCCCCAATGTGGTTGGAGTAGATAATCCCTGTTCTAAATAATATACTTTGCTGTATCAAAAGATAAAAAGTATCCTTTTAGGTTAAGCAACCCAGTACATGGAACTGTGTGCTTTAGCAATAAATACAATGTATCGCAAAAAGGGCTGAAGCAATAAAAACTGGATGTATAAAAAAAGCCAGTTTATTAAACAATTAAAAACTATATTAATAATAAAATTGCAAAAATACAGATTTAGTAAAGTTCATGTGTGCATTACCAGACTCCTGTGAGTAAAAGAATAGCAAGAATCTTCGGTATGGCTGAGGATGGATCCGGATAGATTTGGACAAATTGTCTGTATTCTGGCAGGCAGTAAGGAAGGCGTGGGTAAGTTTGTGCGTCCTGAACAGGAGCCTCGCTTGGGGAGACGTACAGGGCTGGTGATCCCGGTAGCAGTGACTGCCAAAGGTTCTGCGTATGGAGATGAGTTGCTGGTGAATGCTGGCTGGTTCTGTATTCTGCAATGATGATTTGCCTAACGCGTTTCGTAGGGGGTGCGCCCTACTTCATCAGAGACGTGATGTTGGCTATTGCTTCAGTCCTTCTTTAAATATGCATTTCATAATTGACAATAAAATATTTATATCACATTCAGAGTGTGAGATACAGATTATAACATGTGAAAAACGATTAAAATATGCGAGCTTACAGAATAGAAATATGAATATGACTTGGAAATCTTATTTGATACATACATAAATAACTAACGTTAGTTTCTTCAAAAACTAGTAGTTAAAATTGTACATCAATGTAGAGATGTCCAGGTAATACATTACATGTCAAACTAGATGGAAGTATTATAAATATAGTAGAACATAGAATAATTGTTTAATGAGAAGATAATTTACATATTAGACCAACCATAGTTTTATAGATAAAGTGAAAAATCCTTGTCATAAAGGATATGTGTGTATATGAAGTGAATAAACGAAACCAAACGGAAAAAAAAAGAAAAAGCAAAAAAAAAATAATAATAATAATTAGTTTCTAACATTAAATGGAAACATCTTAAATGGATACTTCCAATCTGAAATAAAACAGATTAGTAATATAATCATTTGATTAAATATATATAAGTGAATATAAGTATATAGAAGAGGATAAGTTGAGAGTAATGTGTGGAAGGAATATAAAGGCCATAAATAGAAGTGTATATTACATATATGCTTAATTAGTTAGCTCACTTTCTGTGAGTATTGGATGTGTGTGTATATTTATATAATATACTACATGGTGCGAAGAGGAGATGAGTACATAAGATACTCATATGTGGACTTAAATATGGACTAGTGAAAATGCTAAGTGCCATGTGTATATAAAAATAAAAATAAATATAAACAGAAGAAAGTTTAAAAAGTGGGGGAGGGGTAAACACAAATGAATCGTTACTCACATGGAGAATATTAAAGGAATGAAATATCTCTCAGATATCTACATCTTGGTCCAAATAAATGTAGTGGAAGAATGAAAGGAGGGAGGGGAGACAGTGAGATGCTAAGGTGAACATCTACATAAAATTTTTATGGTAAAACAAGGAGAATGTACTTAGTGAGTCTCATAGGAAAGCATTAAACTCGAAGTCTACATTGAGTCCCTTAGGGACTAGAGTTTCCAACTCAAAGATCCACTTTGCTTCTCTTTGATCTAGGGTCTTATCAATGCTACCTCCTCTCCAGAGGGTATTCACTTTCTTGATGGGCATAAATTTGAGTCCTGTAGGATCTCCCTCATGTTTTTCTTTAAAATGTTTTGAGATATTATGTGTTAGAAGTCCCTTCTTGATGTTCCTAATGTGTTCTGCAATTCGTATTTTCAATGGTCTCTTGGTGCGTCCCACATATTGTTGCGGGCACGGGCATGTTATGAGGTAAATGACTCCCGAAGTGTTGCAGTCCATATTAGTTTTTACAGCATATTCTTCTTGAGTGGTAAGTGATGTGAATTTAGTGATTGCAGTTTCCAATGAGGGGTTGTATTTACATGCTGGACACTTCTTGCATCTAATGAAACCTTGGTTGATACTTTGATCCAAAATAGTATCTACAGTTCTGATGGTGGGTGCCAACATAAGTTGTAAATTTGGTGCCCTAGTGAATATAATCTGAGGTTGGTGATCTAAACATTTTGAGAGCGTTGAGTCGTTCTTCAGAATCTCCCAATGTTTTCTTAATATCCTCTGTATTGTGTGAGACTGATGATTATATTAAGTAATGAAAGCTGGTGCTGAGGAATGGCGTTCTGTAGCTTTAATTGTCTTACAAAGGGTGTCTTCCCTCGGAATAATCAGTGCTGTATTCATGGCTTCTTCTAATAGTGCTGGGGGATAACCCTTATTTGAAAATCTCTGTCTCATTTCTTCCATTTGTTGTCTGCAGACATCATCTTTCGAACAATTCCGTTTAACTCTCCTGAACTGGTTCTGTGGTATGTTTTTTAGCCATGTAGATTTATGATGACTATTAAAAGGGATAAAACTACAGTCGACGGTCTTCTTGAAAGTCTTGGTGTGGATGTTCCCTTCTTCAATATAGATGTCAAGATCCAGGAATTCAATGTGTTCTTTAGAATGACTGAAGGTGAATGTAAGATGATATGGATTATTGTTCAGATAAATCTTGAATTTCTCCAGGGATTCCAGGTCTCCTTTCCATATGAAGAAGCAATCATCGATATATCTGCGCCTTAGGGACAGATTTGCGCCAAATGGGCAATGGGTCCATATAAATTCTTCTTCCCATTTGCCCATAAATAGGTTGGCATAACTTGGCGCAAATCGTTTCCCCATGGCTGTGCCTTCAATTTGTAGATAAAATGAATCACTGCACCAAAAATAATTATGTGTGAGAATAAAAGCAATACACTGGATAAGAAAATCAATTTGGTCGTTTTTCAACTCTGAATATGTTGCTAGCGAGAACTGGGTAGCCTCACAGCCTTGAAGATGTTCAATCACTGTATAAAGTGAGGTAACATCTGCAGTGACTAAAAACATCTAATTTTCCCACCTAAAATCCAATAAAATATTTAAAATTTGGGTGGAGTCTCTGAGGTATGATCTGAGACAGGGGACTAGACGTTGAAGATATTGGTCCACGTATTCGGAAAGATTTGCGGTTAGGGATCCAATTCCCGATACAATTGGCCTTCCAGGGGGTTTCTCTAATCTTTTATGAATCTTTGGCAAATGGTAAAACACCGGTATCTAAGGAAATTGTACGTATAGGTATTTAAATTCTCTATCGTTCAGGATTCCTCTGTCTTTTCCATAATTAAGTATTACCTTCAATTTTCCCTGATATTGAAGGGTGAGGTCACTTTTTAATAGTAGGTAGGTGTTGGTGTCTCCTAGTAATCTCTGGTTCTCCTCCTCATAATCGCTAGTATTGAGGATGACTAGTCCACCCCCTTTGTCTGCTGCTTTTATTGTGATGTCTTCAGACTTCATAAGTTGTTTCATTGCATTTCTTTCTTTTCTGGTCAAGTTGTCTTTGGTGATCTTGTTGGTGATCTTTTTCTTAAAATCTTTTTCAACCATCTTTTCGAATACTTTAATGGAATCATTCTTGACATGTTGTGGGTAAAATGTTGAAGTGGGGTGTAATTCAGTGTGTGAGTAGTCTTGATCCACTTCTTGTTTGATCAAATCTTTTTCCATAAAAAAATTTTTTATGGATATTTTGCGTATAAATTTATGTAAATCTATATATACATTGAAATCTGAATTCTTAGACTTGGGAGCAAACTTCAAACCTTTTCTGAGAAGGGAGAGTTAATCTGGATTGAGAGTCCTATTAGACAGGTTGAAGATGCTTACTTCTTCCTTTTCAGTTGTGTCTGTTCTTCGTATTGTTCTGTGCCTTCTTCTAGGTCTCTTATTGTTCTTTTTCTTCTCACATCTGGGGATCTGAAGTCTTCCGCCGAGAATCTTTTGGGGGGAATCCTCCCCCGTTTGTCTAAACAATCATTCACAGTGTTGGTGTTGGAAATAAGTGCTCTATTGGACTCTAAATTGGTCCTTCTATGATCTGGAGGGGGGGGGTTTGGTGTTGGAGATAATTGTTTCTCGTGATCAGGTAGTCTTCTATTTCTGAATGGTGATGAATGGCCAGACTGTCTTGGAAGCTGTTGGTGTTTCCCTTGATCTCGATAGTCTGTTTTTCTATGTTAATTTCTTTGATAGTCGTCAAGTGACCCTCTTACTCTTGATGGTGACGTGTATGTAGTTTGTCCTGGATACTGTTGGTGTCTCTTTTGATCTCGATATTCTATTCTTCTATACTCTTTTCGTTGATGGTGATGGAGGTATGGAGCCTCTATTACGTGATGGTCTACTCTCTGTCCAGTTGTTTGTGGAATGTTTTCTGGGAGAATTCTGGGAAAAGAGGGCATCTCTATAAGACCGGTGATGCTCACGGAAAGTGAGCTAACTAATTAAGCATATATGGAATATACACTTCTATTCATGGCCTTTATATTCCTTCCACACATTACTCTCAACTTATCCTCTTCTATAAACTTATATTCACTTATATATATTTAATCAAATGATTATATTACTAATCTTTCTGTTTTATTTCAGATTGGAAGTATCCGTTTAAGATGTTTCCATTTAATGTTAGAAACTAATTTACCATATTTATTCTTGTGTGTATCTATTACCATTATCTTTTTTTTTTCGCTTTTTCCGTTTTTTTTTCATTTGGATTCGTTTATTCACTTCATATACACACATATCCTTTATGACAAGGATTTTTCACTTTATCTATAAAACTATGGTTGGTCTAATATGTAAATTATCTTCTCATTAAACAATTATTCTATGTTCTACTATATTTATAATACTTCCATCTAGTTTGACATGTAATGTATTACCTGGACATCTCTACATTGATGTACAATTTTAACTACTAGTTTTTGAAGAAACTAATGTTAGTTATTTATGTATGTATCAAATAAGATTTCCAAGTCATATTCATATTTCTATTCTGTAAACTCTCATATTTTAATCGTTTTTCACATGTTATAATCTGTATTTCACACTCTGAATGTGATATAAATATTTTATTGTCAATTATGAAATGCATATTTAAAGAAGGACTGAAGCAATAGCCAACATCACGTCTCGGATGAAGTAGGGCGCACCCCCTACGAAACGCGTTAGACAAATCATCATTGCAGAATACAGAACCAGCCAGCATTCACCAGCAACTCATCTCCATACGCAGAACCTTTGGCAGTCACTGCTACCGGGATCACCAGCCCTGTACGTCTCCCCAAGCGAGGCTCCTGTTCGGGATGCACAAACTTACCCACGCCGTCCTTACTGCCCGCCAGAATACAGACAATTTGTCCAAATCTATCTGGATCCATCCTCAGCCATACCGAAGATTCTTGCTATTCTTTTACTCACAGGAGTCTGGTAATGCACACATGAACTTTACTAAATCTGTATTTTTGCAATTTTATTATTAATATAGTTTTTAATTGTTTAATAAACTGGCTTTTTTTATATATCCAGTTTTTATTGCTTCAGCCCTTTTTGCGATACATTGTATTTATTGCTACAGCACACAGTTCCATGTACTGGGTTGCTTAACCTAAAAGGATACTTTTTATCTTTGATACAACAAAGTATATTATTTAGAACAGGGATTATCTACTCCAACCACATTGGGGACTGAGACACCTGCTCTATACAAATCAATTTCATTTCCTCCAGGAACCCATTCTCCTTTTTTTCTTTTTGCACTTTTAGTGTTGTTTTCAGTGTTGTCCTCTATTTTTTCCCCGTTCATCCGTCTATTTCTTTTTCTCTTCTTCCTTATTCAACTCATCTTCTATTTTATCTCTATTCTCTTGATTTTGATCTAGATTTTTTATTTATATCTATCTATTATTATTTCTTTTTTGTTTTTACTCTTTCCTATTGCACTTAAAGGTATATCACGTATAACCAGTATTTAAAGGCACAAGACATTTCATACACCCAACCCATCTCCATCTGGTATATATTTATCTCATTTATTATTATATTCTCTCCATATATATACTATAGCCATTAGTCACCAGTTAGCTCCTGGACCCACACATCTAATCTCATTATCTGTATTGAATTTTAGAGTGTTTTTACCCTTCTTTTACATAGGTTTTTAGTGAATCCCTATTGTTTCCAGTTTTTCTGAGCAGCTGAGTGTTAGTCTATCTCCCTCTCCTCTGTGTCTTGCATTAGGCACACCAGAATATCTCCAATATGTATGATTACTGTTTAAACAGACTCCATATATGTAACCGATTTATCTGTGTATAAGGTGCTGTCAGAAACATCCACAATGTATATGATTCATATATTCTGTATGCAGGTTGGTAGTATTAGATAACCCTAATTTATACACGGCATTGGTAGATTTAATATATACAAATGATCTAAGGTCTGTTTTGCCCTGAAATGTAGCACTGCCCAATTCTAGCAAATACAAATGCACTGTTGTACTGGGTAAGTAACTATTGCCTACTGTGGATTTTCTATTTCAGTTTTTTAAATGAAGTAGATAAGGAAACATACTGCTTTTGGCTTTGTATTAGATTCCTTCTCCCACAGGTGTTTCAGGATAAGCAATTAACACATTTTACCCCTTCAGATAGAGTGCAGGTGTTACTGAACCTGTATGAGTGCCTCTCCCAGGAGAGAGGGAGACCTGTTTTTCCAAAATGAAGCATGGTAATGTTTAACACAATCGTGTTTTTTTTTTGTGTGCACTCCTATGTATTTATACATGAGACCCATCTACAAAAATTTTTCTATTGCCAGGTATCCTCTCCTCTCTGTTCAAGATAGGGAATGTTTTTTCAATTAGTGGCAGTGTTTTACCTTTAGATATATGCTGATTACTGATGCACAGCTTAGTAGATCATACTGGTTGCAGGAGCACAAATTTGGCTATTAATTGATCTCATAAGTAGGTAATGCTGAAGCCATTACCTGATTTAAAAGCTGTTATTATTGGTTTTTCTTTCACCTGGTTATAACCTTTTATTCTTTAAATCTGAATTAATTTCCTTAAAGCATAAATTTTATATTCAGTATTCTCTTTTATCCCTTGGGGACCTGAAAGTTTGGCAATCCC